TATTATATAGGACAGTTACATTGTTGATAACAAAGACTTAAGGCAGTGAGTGTTCTCCCAGGGGGTGTTCCCTGTTTGCACATTAGCTGGCTATCTACCATGCTCCCTTTTCTCTTTAGTTGGGGCAGTGGAATTCTTCTTTCTCCACTCAAGGAGTGTGGTGGTAGGAGAAGGTAGTTCACCTTTGGATGTTCTTGATCTCATCCCCTGCATGTAGTGAAAGTTCAGTAGGCTGAAGAAACCTGTGACCTGCCAGCTGCTTACTCAAATTCAGAATGCTGAATGAAGTTCTAGATTGTTTCGCAGGATGCTGACAAGTGATTCAAGTCCTCTTGTAAATGGAAATCTCTATAATAATGAGGTTTCCACTTACTCAGTGTGACTTTTTATAGATTATAAAGTGGCCATGATATTAGTATCTGTGATTTTACTATAAAAATCTATAATGATATGTTTCCTGCATATTATGGACATAAAAGTATGATAGAATAGAATCAAAGGAATCTTTGCAAACATCATTTTGCGTATAAAGTTAATAAAGTTTGGGGAATAGATCAGAATTATGGACAATTTGAAGGCAAAGCTAAGATTAAAGAGATAAATGGGTCTGTGTACTTATTCTATGTAAGAAGAAGTTTTATATAAATACTAGTGGCCCATTGCACAAAGATTCGCGCAACAGGCCTTCCTTCCCCTGGCTGCCAGCACCGGTTTTCCTCCGGCACCCGGGACCCAGGCCTTTGGTCCGGCCGCAGCAGCGAGGCTTGGCTTCTCCACTCCGGCTGCTCCCAGTCCCTCCTTTTCTTTTTTTTCCAGCTCCTTGAGTGGAGCCCAGGGAGGGCTGGAGGCCTGGGTTGCCCCGGCGACCCAGGCCCCCAGCCACTCCTTAAGCAGAGTCCAGGGCCGGCAGGAAGCTTGGCTTCCTCCCTCACCAGGAGCAACCCAAGCCTCCTGCTCACTCCAACTCCGTGGCCACCACCATCTTCAGTCATCTTCAGTCTTCGCTCTGCACCTGCGTATGCAAATTAACCACCATCTTTGTTGGGTTAATTTGCATAGTCACTCTGATTGGCTGGTGGGTGTAGCAGAGAGACGGAGTTATGGAGTGATGGTTAATTTGCATGTTTCTCTTTTATTATATAGGAGTAGAGGCCCGGTGCACTGGGGGAGTAGGGGTTCCTCAACCTGGCCTGCACCCTCTCACAGTCCAGGACCCCCGGGGGATGTCCGACTGCCATGGAGGTGGGAGAGGCTTCCGCCACCACTGTTGCACTGGTCAGCCGTGAGCCCGGCTTCTAGCTGAGCAGCACTGACAACCAGCAGCACTGCCCATGTGTGTTTTGCTCGCAGAAACAGTCCTCACTTTTGCACATTCTCACCCGTTACTTTTACCTAGATCCAGAATTAGCTGCAATATTCATATTAAGCCTTCCCTGGAATGATAATAAGCTGGGCCCCTAGGAAGAGAAGAACCATGGCAGAGAAGAACCAGTTGCAGATTGTGAACATTTTCCTATAAGATCTTCATTGTAGAAGAAGAGAAACATAGAAAAACATAAATAGGATGTAAATCACTGTCCCATCACTTTCAGCCATTAATCTTTGAACATATTTTTGTCCTGTCTCCCTTCTGTAAGTAACAGTTTTAGGCAGGCCACTCTGGTCAGTGGCTGGCATCTCTCCACAGGGTCAGCACCTTCCTACTTGCACCTCATACAGCTGCCACTAATGTAGTCTAGCTGTGTGCACAGAAAGAAGAGGCAACAGACTTTGGTGAGCACATTAGCCATTAAATTACTCATAAATACCATGATGTCTGGAGCATTTTTAAGGTATCATTCCAATGCCTTGGTGTTTGAGATGTTTGCTTATATCCTTCCTCCCTTCCTTCCTCCCTTCCTTCCTTCCTTCTTTCCTTCCTTCCTAATATCTGGTGAAATCCAATTTATCCTTCAAAATCAAACTAAGAGGACTTCTGCTTTTTGGCAGTTTTCTCCCATCTCAGAACACTGAATTCATACCAGTGTTTTAGTATTTGCACTTTATTGTAGCTACCTATTATCATGTCTTTTTCTCTTTCCTTTTTTATGTCTCTTTCTTATTAAACTGTGAGTTGTCAGAAGCAGGAATCCTAAATAATTTGACTTTATAATGATAGTGCTTAGCACTTTACAATTTCTTAGAAAAAGGTGTTAAAGGAATTTTAAAGGAGTCCTCTAAAATCTCTTTCTCAATAACTCTCATCTGTGGGTCATGTAATGTATTTCACCTTTAGGCATTTCAAAGAACACACATAATAGTGATTAATATTGATACTTATAAGACTGTCTTTTTCTTAGAAAAGGCTAGAGGCTTTGTTTATATTTGTTTTGAAGTGCTATTGTTTCACTATTTAGCAGTAAACTTCCACTCTGAAAATATCTTTGCTTAATTGAGTCAGTAGGTAAAAATCCAAGTTATTACAGAATAATAAAGTTAGAAGAGCCTGGAGAGGAAGATAATGGGAACACTGAGTGGCATTACAGTGTAGCAGAAACACACAAACTCAGCACACCTGGTTTCAGTCAGGGCTCACTGTTTTTCAGTGGTGTTACTTCTCACAGGGTTGATCACTTATCTTCTCTGAGCCTCAATTCTTTCATCCATAAAATGGAACCACAGATCACATGGGGCTGTTGTATAAACACTTGAGATCCCATGTGTATGAAGGCAGGCATCTTGAAAAGGGGCACACAATATGAGGAATTATTATTATGCCACAATGAATAGACTGCTGATACTATTCACTCTTCTACTTCTATTTCCTAGTAAGAAATACCAGCAATCCAAGATCAGCATTTTATGAGATTAGAATCTCAAAGAAAACAGTCTTTCCAAATGTGTTATTTCAGAAACAGTATCACAAGCAAATAGAAAGGAGTTTTTAATTATATAAATAAAATAAATGATAGATTTTTCTTAAAATCTGTGAAAAGCTGACAAGTACTCTGAAATTGGAGCTGTACTTGAAATATAAGTGCTAAGGGTAGAATCTGAATTGCTTAGATGTACAAAGGACAGACAGCACTCTTGCTGCCTTTATTTAGGTTAAAGGGAAGCAGATATTAGGCTCAAACAATGATGAAATGTGTCTATGCCCTGAGGGTCCACCCTAAACCAGGAAGCAAGAATTATCAAGTTTTATTTAATAGTTGTTGATTTAGTTTAGAATAGCCAGCACCATTAATATTAGCTCCTTTAATTCTCACACCAATTATATTGGGCAGGCATTATTTGCATTGTAGAGGAGGCCCTAAGTTTAACATTTATTGTCTATTGAATAAATGAGTGATTCTAAGATGGGCTCTTGTCCTGACTTTATTATAATTAGCCCTACCCTAAATTTTTTGAGTATGAATTTTCTTACCTCACAATGAGTAAATTGAGGTAATGATTCTTCAGATGCTGGCAGGTAGCTTTAGTTTTAGTCTCTGTCACTTGCCCCATGTCATAGTTTATCACTGCTTTGAATCCCCAATCCAAATTGTCCAACAGTGAAATAAAACTCCAGGTGTAAGGATAGAGACAAACATAAAAAATTATTGGCATTTTCAGCCTTTTGCATGTCTGCACTCCAACTTTCTGTACATTTTTTAAAACCTAAAAAATGGATGATAAATAATGGAAGAAAAAAGGCCAAATAGGTAGCAATTAACAATTTTACATATGTTTAGAAGGCATTTCATAGCTTAGATATCACACAAATAATCAATATCCATCTTGGAGTTGTTGCAATAAATGTTGGTAGTAAGATTAAAACATTAGTACATGGATTTGTACTTTACTGGATTTTCACATCAGTACATCTTTCAGTACAGTGAAGATAACTGGGGAATGAAAATGCAAGTTTTGTTGAACTAATTCTTATAAACTATTCATGACAGGAGAAACTCTTGGCCAACCATTTTAATAATCTGTAAACATAAAGGAAGAACATCCCTGCTCTCATCTCTGCCCACTAACCATAGTGGACATCATCATCATCATTTCTAAATCTTCTATAACAGTCTTTCTATTTTTAACACTTTGATTCAAGATGTTGGAGTGTGATATTGGAAATGGTCCAAGTCATCATATAGCAAAGGACAATATAATACATGCCCTCTTACTTACACAGCACAAAGCAATTTACATCTGGCATCTGGTCTTTCTTCTTTCTCCACTTACTTTGGACTCTTGGTTGGTCACCTGAAGTGTCTTTCACATGGCTCTTGATTCCATTACATTGCTAGAATCCTGGCTCACCCACTGATTAAAACACCAGCCCAGTGTCAATGCTACTGATTTAACTTCTCTGTTTGATATCTAGCTGGTTGTAGTGCTGGTAAGAAAAACATTATTCAAACTCCTTGACTGGAACACAAGGCCCTTCACCTTCTGGACACCTGTATTCAATAGATCTGTTTCATTTTCTATCTCAAACATTATAAATATTCCAGAAATATACAAGTGCCAGGAGCTCCTTATGCCACTTTAATGTGAGGAACCTCTTTTAGTTGAATATGTCCTAGTCTGTGTCACCACCTCTGCTCTGGGATTCTTCTTCTCAGGCTATATAAGAGGTGGCATTTGTACCCTGATGGTACACTTTCTACCGTTGCTTTATCTTTCATTTTTGATGTGCCTTTATCTCTCATTTTATTTCACTATAAGCTCCATAAGAGGGAGGCTCTATGTATTTATCATTTTGATAAATATACAACTGATACATAGTGACTCCTAGCAATTGTTGAATGTAGCGTCTGTTGTACACATGGATTTCTAAAGCCTGATAGATGATGCATGTGAATCAACTGCTGTGTCCAAGGTGAGACACAAAACTACTGATAAAACCAGGTATAAAACCCAGGTCTCCTAATAGCCGTGTCCAATGCTCTTTCCTTTACAGTGTGAACACTATTGGACTGTCTTGGTTGATGTCTAAATTGCATTTAAAGGACTTTGTGTTTTCTGCTTTACAGAGTGGACAAATGGGATCAAAGGGGCCTCCAGCTAATCCACCCTCATTCCGCCCTGAAGATGAACTAGAGCACCTGACCAAGAAGATGCTGTATGACATGGAAAATCCACCTGCTGACGAATACTTTGGTGAGTGGTCCCAGAGCTGACTTCTGAAGTAAATGTCCTGTCCTATTTTCCTTAATTAGTAAGTAGGAGTATTATCAGCTCCAGTGGTAAAGGACTAGAGTCTGCATGCATTGGAGTTGGTATCCATGTGCACACATCTGAGTGTTCTGGAAGTTGCTTTGTGTGAGACTGCCATAATGTGATATCTGTTTGGCTTGTACTAAAATCTCAGGGGTACTTCAGAGTTTCGTGAGATACATTTGATTTAAAACTTAATTTTTGATCATTTATTAGCTTTTTATTATGCAGAAATAGGGCTTTTGTGTGTATTCAGGTCTAAATATTAATATACAAAATGTGGAATTGGGCAGTGTCTAAACTCTGTGCTCTCAATCCTTTTCCCTATCCAAGTTCAAGGAAAGGATGCTCCCTTTATATATTTTTTAACTTCTCCCCTGTCTAAGCCTGTGAATAATTATGAACAATTAATCCATCTATCCATTCATTTAATGTGAATTTATGAATTACATGCCAATTATGAGGTGTTATGGATACATAATTGTCTTCCAAGAGGTTGTAATTATTCAGAAGAGAGAAGAAAAGCACAAATAATTACTAATGTAGCTAAAATTATTAAGAGGCATGAGGGATGCTTGCTTAGGTCAAATGTTATAAAAATTTAAAAGTTCTGTTCATCGCCCTGACCAGTTTGGCTCAGTGGATAGAGCTTCGGCCTGCGGACTGAAAGGTCCCAGGTTCCATTCCGGTCAAAGGCACATACCTTGGTGGCGGGAACATCCCCGGTAGGGGGTGTGCAGGAGGCAGCTGGTCGATGTGTCTCTCTCATTGATGTTTCTCTCTATCCCTCTCCCTTCCTCTCTGTAAAAAATCAATAAAATATATTTTTTTAAAAAAAGCTCTGTTCATCAGGAATGCTTTATGGAAGAATTGGTGGCACTTGAACCTGGACCCTAAAGCATACATTTCAGGTTTTTTTGTTATGAAAGATTCCTGCCCAGTCTGTTGGAGATCAGTATTTTTATAGAGTATAATTAAAATTAGTTACTAAGAAAATGAAATTTAAAAAAATACAAAATGGAAGACCTACGTTTTACCATTATCAGACTTAACAAGGATAAATTACTCTATTAAATTGCTGTAATTTTTTCTAAATACTCTCTGTATTTGTCTCATCACAGGGTGACGAACATTCCTTAGTCAGACACCCATCCATTGACCTAATTTTCAGTAGTGCTGCTTTTTAAAAAAATATGTTTTATTGATTTTTTTACAGAGAGGAAAGGAGAGGGATAGAGAGTTAGAAACATTGATGAGAGAGAAACATCGATCAGCTACCTCCTGCACACTCCCTATTGGGGATGTGCCCGCAACCAAGGTACATGCCCTTGACTGGAATCAAACCTGGGACCCTTGAGTCTGCAGGCTGATGCTCTATCCACTGAGCCAAACCAGTTAGGGCTCAGTAGTGCTGCTTTAAGTACATATGGAGAAAAGACATTTGGGGGCATTGGGAAGGCACAGAGGTGGGAAATTGCACTATGCACAGGGCTTGTACTTCTTCAAGTTTTTCCAATTTGCATGTCTTCCCATTTGCTTCTTATTGGGGAATATGTATTAAAAAATAAACAGAAAACACTTGTTCAAAACCACATGGTAGGTGGACTGGGTTAGGATGTGAAAATCATGACATTTATTTGTAATCAGAAGGTAGCATAGCTTAGCTAAAAGCACAATAGTGAGAACTTAGAATTTAGGTTCTGTCCCTCTCTTCCCCTCGCTGACTGATCACTGTTGCCATGTTCCTCATCCATCTGAGCCCCGGAAAAGGTTCTCTGGCATTTCTTTCAATACTAGTAAGATAATATGGAAACAGCATCAACCCAAATAAATGTAACATAGCTAAAAGCTAAATATAAGTTGATATAGATTAACACAAAGGCATGGAAAACAGTAAAAAAAAGTCTCTACTTATTTTAAAATATACTATAAGTATATTATGTTCTTGTCATTGATGTGAAAGAAGGATATATATTGAAATAAGATAAACTTTTTAAAAAAGCATGTTAAAAGTGAAAAGTATGTTCTCTGTATTAAAGTATATTAAAAATGAAAAATAATAATACCAAATATATATGCTTCAAATATCATAGCAAAAACTACCTAGCAATAAGGAAAAATATGTTAATGAATATATGAATATATATAT